AGCCCTGATCATTTATGCTACAAAGGTGACCCTTACAGAGTCCTTAGATATTTCAAGATGAGGCCTGGCCATGCTAGAAAAGTCAACCATATGATTATAGGGTTGGGGCTTTATGCCATGTGATATCAATCTGATATAGATTAGGATTGGAAGGGACTAGAGATTAAGTTCAATCACATTGCCAAGGATTAAATGATGACTATGTAATGAAACTCCAGTAAAAACTCTGGCTAGTAAAGCTTGGATAATGCTCCTGGCTGGTAATACACAGTGATGGGGAGTGAACACAGAAGCTTCACCTTCAGGAACCTCCTGGGTCTCAGTCCATGCATCTCCCCTTTTGGCTAGTTTTTATGTGTTTTCTTTTGCGATAATAAATCTATAATGTTAAATATAGCTTTTTCCAAAGTTCTGTGAGTCTTTCTAGCAAGAAGGTGGTGGAAACCCTTGAATTTGTAGCCAATTGAAGTGTGGGTGGCCTGGGAATCCCTGAGCATGTGGCTGATGTCTGAATTGAAGGCAGTCTCAAAGAAGACTGAGCCCTTAGGCTGAGGAATTTGGCCTAACTCCAAGCAGTTAGTGTCAGAATTGCAATGGAGTTGACCACGAGAGAAATTTGCTTGACATTTGGAAGTCATAGGGAAGTAGCAGGCATAATTTTTACCCTCTGGAAGATCAATGCAGAGTGCCAGGCACTGTGGTACCTCATGCACATTGTTGCTGATCACCTGGCTCACCTTGTTGGCTCACCTTGTTGGCATATGGCAGCACCCAGCCTGCAGCTCCTCTAGCTGCTGCCACATCTCCTCAAACTTCTCTGTGTTCTGGGCCAAAGATATGTGCAACTCTAGAGCTAAGGGTGCCAGCTACTCCTGCAGTCCTCAGGCCATCCAAGTCACCTAAGGTGGAGTAATGAGAGACAGAAGCAAGCTCCATTTTTTTTCTAGAAGTTTTTGGTTGGTTCCTGCTCTTGTTCTTATTCGCCTTTCCTTCCCAACTGCTCGTCTGGCTGACCCATGGTGACTTCAGCCCCAGCACCACACGCAGGCCAGCAGATTGCTCCACCAGCCATCCCAATTGCATAATGTTGAATCCCAAAAATCAGACTCTTATTCCAGATAACTCTTTGTTCTGCTTCTCTGATTTTTACCTTGACTGATACAACTGTTTCAGTCTATCTATTGATAGAAAATATGTTTGTGATTATTGGGAATTTAAGAGGAAACACCATGGGAATAGAAATAGTATGATACTAGAGTTTTCAACCCTAACAGATATCAGTCTTTAAAAAAAAATACTGATCCCACTCTCTTCCTCTGAGATTTTGGGGTAAAGTTTAGGCACTATTTTTTTTTTTTTTTTGAAAGGTGGTTACAGTTTGCACTCAAGAGTTATGAAATGCTTCAGGAGAGGAAAGAAAAAGAACAAAGAAAAGTGATCAATATCACAAACATACACATACAAGAAAGCATAGCAAGAATACATCAGAACATAAGAGACTCTCCTGAATTCAAATGGCAGAGAAGTACTAAAAGTTAACCAATAGACAAAGACATATTAGGCAAATATTAATTAAAATAAAGACATGATGATAGTAATATAAAACAAAATAGAATTAAAAGTTAAAAGAATGAAAATGGACGAAGGATATTTATATTAATAAAGTTTATAGTACATGATGAAGAAATGTTTTCTTTCTTTTTGCATCTAGCATAACTTGGAGTTATAGAAGGCAAAAACTGACAAGACATACTCAGAGAAAAATGAAAAAGTAAAATCACCTCTCTCAGAACTAAGAGATCAAGAAGAGAAAAAATATAAAGGATTTGAAAAATATAATTAGCAAGCCTCATCTATCATGTTAGAAGCTCTTTTAATGCCACATTCCTGATTCGTTGGATTAACTGATGTTCTCTATTCTTTCTTTAACAAATGTCAATGCCCTTGACATGCAAAGGCTAGAGGAGTAAGCCACTTTCGTAATTCGCCCCTTTTTTTCTCTCCCCAATCAAGTTATTCCAGATCTTCTGTCAGATCCTATTGTTATTTTTAATATTATGTAAACTAATAGAATATTAATGTAAAAAAATTAGTTCTTACTAGAAAATTAGTTGAATATTTTGTAAAGATTCAATACAGATGGATCACTATGAAATTTGCTATCAGATAAGTATGCATAAGACAACTATAAAATGATTTGAGTGAGAAACCTGGAAAATTTGAATACTCCACCAGTTTCTATACATTTGCCTTGTACCATAAAGAAATCCAAATTAGAAATCACAGGCAACGCAGTCTGGTAGTGCAGTCCAAGAAAGTGAACCGAACTTCAATGGGTATGCTCAAGAATTTTTTTTTTTTTTTTTTTTTTTTTTGTGAGACAGTCTTGCTGTCACCCAGGCTAGCTAGAGTGCAATGGCGTTATCTCGGCTCACTGCAATGTCCACCTCCCAGGTTCAAGTGATTCTCCCTACTTCAGCCTCCTGAGTAGCCAGGATTACAGGTGCCAGCCACCATGCCCAGCTAATTTTTGTATTTTTAGCAGAGACGAGGGTTTGCTATGTTGGCTAGGCTGATCTCAAACTCCTGATCTGCCCACCTCGGCCTCCCAAAGTACTGGGATTACAGGCATGAGCCACCACCCCCAGCCTCAAGATTTTCTTAAAAAGACTTAAAAGCCGGGCGCGGTGGCTCAAGCCTGTAATCCCAGCACTTTGGGAGGCCGAGGCGGGTGGATCACGAGGTCAAGAGATCGAGACCATCCTGGTCAACATGGTGAAACC